TATATATATATATATATATATATATAAAATATTTAATGACTAGGATATTACTGGCTTTTTACATTTTAGTTCAAACAATGGTTAAAAAAAATTATTTCAATTTGACCATTTTAATGCAAATATAGACAGGGAAAGTAGATGGTTGCGATGGTGTTTATTCTTGGTTTTAAATTCAAACTGAATCTTACAATTAGGCCTGCACCATTAATCATTAAACCTGAAATTACGGTTTGAAAAGCTGCGATTTATTTAGTTTATTATGCTGTGCTTAAATAGCTGTAAATAGCTGCGTGAACATTTGAGTTTACTCGCTTCATTTGCGCGTCAAACCTTGCTTCATTCGCATGTCAAATGCACATCAGAACAGGATGATGGTGGTGATGGGCAGGGCTTCTGTCTGCCCGAAGACTCTAGCTTCATAGCTAAATGGCTAACATGGATTTTATGAAGAAAATAACAGTGTTTATGTGCTTTATGAAGACTGAAAAACTGCGTCGATACGTTTAGGGTCGTGTCTGAGTCCACTACATCCTTTCAGAGGTGCATCCAGCTCTGTGAGCTCATAAACTCCTTCAGAAACTGAACTTGGATGATGGAGGCTTTCAGCGGTGCTTCTGACTGAGCCAAGCCCAGTTTGATGAACTGTTGTCGGTGAAGGGTGGAGGATTTCCCTCAGAACACCTACAACAGGTTCTACGTCACAATCACGCCCCCACAAGAGCAAGCTTCTGATTGGTTAACGCGGCGCGAATGTCCGCTGAAGTTCAGATTTTCGAACTCGAGAGATTCACGCGAAACGCTCGTTAAGCGCGTCAAACTAGCAAAACGCTCAATTCGCCCCGCGCCATCCGCGCAATTTGCATAATTCGCGCCGCAGGATGTCTATTCTCACGTTTGCATTGACTTAACATGTAAATCCCTCGCGCTTGACGCGTGTTCCGCGTCTGGTGTGAACGCAGCATCACTTTGTACAGGGAGGTTAAAGCAGTACTGGTTGATCCAGACACACAAGCGTGTGTGCTGAACGGATTTTCTCTACCACATCTATCATGGGTCAGCTGTGATTACTAGGGATGTAACGATTTACTGTGAGCTGGTTGAAAATCGATTTAAATACGTGACTTTACTTCGGTAGAAGTGTTGAATGAATCACGATACATGTTTTGAACCAAGAAAAAAGGTTAATTTCAAACCCTGCGACTGGTTAAAACCAGTGGTGATGAGGTCTTAATGTATGCAAAGAGTCTTAAAGGTGTTAAAAGCTATTGAATTTCAATCCTTGATTCATTTATATACCCTCTGTAAGTATATATGGCCCTAGATTAACTCCATAAAAAAATGTTTTTAAATAAACAGTAGTACTTTGATTATTAATCCTCTTTATGTCTTAATCCCCTTTAGTCTTTCTTATGTCCTACTAAAACCACCACATAAAACCTGCAGCTCTTTGAAGTTATAATAAATTGCGTTTTAAATTGACTGATAAAAAACTGATAAATCGCAATTAGTTTTTTGTTTTTCTCAAATCGTGCAGCCCTACTTACAATTATAGCTGTAGGTCAGTGTGCTATTACAAAAACACTGAGTAAAGACTATTTAATAGTGTACATGCACAAGCTGTACATCATCAGCCTCCAGCACACATCTGGACCATTTTTATAGCGTAACGTGGGCGTTTATATGTGTGGAATAAAATGTTAGTACCTGTAATATTAGCACCAGGGGTCATAATTTGACTGTAGACATAAAATAGTAGGGTCTGTATTTGAATTGACTACTGGACTCGGTTCTTGAAGGGGTTACAGATTTCAGCTCGTTCTGATTTTTCATTATTATTATTCTTTTTCTCTCCGCTGGTTACTCCTGGCAAAGTGCTAATATTCTCTATTTTCAGTTGTGTGTTTTTGTTGAACGCGTACCAGCTCAAGTGTATAGTATTTGGCCCAGATTCTTTCCTCTACCCAGTAAATATGACGATCCAACGGCACGCAGTCTCTCCAAACTCTGACACGCTCTGTGATCACTTTAAGCATGCAGCCAAAGAAAACCACAAACTCCTCACTGCCTGGGAAATATCGATCAATACATTCTCATCCAAATCCCGAAGGCGTAGTCGCTTATTAGTTTTATTCTGCAGCGGTGGCTTTGCCAAGACCAATAAAGTGATGGCTTAACCGTCAACCCATCAGTCATGTTAAAAGTTCTATCTTTCTTCTAACCGGTTGATCTTTAATTGCCTTCTGTTGTAAAGACTGGCATTTTTTAAGCGGTTTGTATATGTAGCAAGACATTATATTAAACAAACAGCTTTTTTTTTGTACTTGCTACTGTCCAGTTGCCAGGAGAAAGTATGTATTTGGACTAATATTTGATGAATCAAGTTTACTTTGGCTTTGCAGGGCTTTACAGAAACCTTCCAGGGTATATATTTTTCAAAAACCTCATTTATGGAAATGATGGTGAAAATGTTTCCAGAGAGGATTATGTCAACGTTAACCCATTCACTGCCACTTTGCTGACACAGACGTTTGTTAAAATGGGGAATTCCCTTTATAAAAGTATAGTTATAGTTTATTTTACCTGATGAATTATGTTTCTTTTAGTGTGGCTGAAATGAAAGCAACTTTAAAATTTTTATAATTTTGTTTTCATTGAAACAATGTTATTGGCTACAGAAGGAACTACTGTTTTGTAATAATTGGTAATAATCGAATTAACCTAATTTGCCTAGCTAACCTGATTAAAGTAGTTAGATCTTTAAATGGCACTTTAAGCTTAATAGCTAGTAAAATATTTTGTAGTACTGTCATAATGACAAAGGCAAAATTAGTATTAGATATATATATATATATATATATATATATATATATATATATATATATATATATATATATATATATATATATGTGTGTGTGTGTGTGTGTATATATATATCTATCTATCTCTCTATCTAACTTATATATATATATATATATATATATATATATATATATATATATATATATATATATATATATATATATTAAAAAAAAAAAA